GTGTAACTGTGACACGCTCACTGCAGGTAACCGAACCACCCAACGTGCCACATATTTTCTCGCATTGTCCTGGCCGATGGAATCTTCCTCTTCATCTGGCCTGAAATCTGGAGTCATTTTTTTTATTAGACTCTTTTCTGTATTCCCCATATCCAATCAACTACCAAATCCCATTTATTATTCTACCGACACCCAGCACACCACATGCAGACTTTTTTTTTCCTCCTTAAATAAAAACAGAGAAAGGAAATCCAGGTTCTCACGTGTCCTGCACGGCTCAGCGCAGGGTAGGAAAGAGAAAGGGAGAGCGAACCTTCACACTGGACGTTTGTCCTGTATCCCCCGCAATAAGGCCAAGCTCGGCATCAGCCGCTGCAGGGTAACTTAGCAAAAACGTCCCGTTCTTTACAGTTATGCTCCAATAGCAACACCAGGTAGTTGAGGACGCACGTGGAGGAGACAGAAAGGCCCCCAAGACACGTAAGGATGCCCTGGGAAGGCTCTAGAACACAACAAACATGACTTTCCTCCTTTGGTTTTTTTCTTTTCTGGCCCCTCGCCCTAATCTTTCATATTACCTTCTTTTTCTAATACCTATAAGCCATGTGGGTAGGCGAGCACAGTGTCATCACTTTACATGGTAGGCTAAAATTCATAAATGATTTTGGATAATCAGTTGAGTTGCATGAGAAGAAATCATTGCAAGTTGCATATACATCAGGCATTTATGTCAATTGAACCGTATAAACATTACTAAATTTTAAAACTTTTTGAGCAGTCTAGAAATACTCTTCTTATGCTAACTGGCAATCGTCTAAGTATATGCTAGATGTAAGACACTTTATCAGGCTGCTTGAATTTTACAGCTTCATTTTTATAAAATCTATATTTAAGGCATCTTAGGTTGTACAAGTCCTTGATCAATAATAAAATGTATAATTTTAAATTAGAAATGTCTTCTTTTTTGAAAGGCGAACATAGTCGTATTGATGTAACAGCATTTTTATCCTTCCTTAACAACTCGAAGTTAACATTCCAATATATTTTTTATAATTTACTTTTTAAAATTGTTACTTAGTTTAAAAGGTGCTTTTTATGCCAGATTTCTCCTTGAAGAAACTAATTTGGCCTAACTTATATGCCATAAAAACAGATTTATAATGGAAAGGTTGACACATTTAAATGAAAATTGAGTTTAATTTCAGAAAAATTAACATCATATTCTTCGACTATAATAGGTTTGAAGGATAAATTAAAATCATTACCTCGAAAAGTTATCAATTTGTATTTTAAGAGTATTATTCCTCCTAAGATATTTCATACTTGGCATATTGAGATTTGATTAGGTAGGATTAACTGGAGAATTTAACTCTTGTCTAAAAAATCAGGCCTACTTCAGGCATACACTTCAAAATGTAAAAGCATTGGGTTGTCCCAGGCTCCAAATTAAGGTAATAAACAGTAAAATTATATGACAAGGAAACAAGCCATAGAAAAGAATTATCTTTTAAATCAATTTTTCCTAATACATGTAAGCCATTCATGTACTCTAAATATTTGTATATTTATTGCCATAAAAATATTCTAGGTGGTTTCCAATGTGTAAACACACTAACGTTTATTTGAAGAAACCCTCCTAACTGTACATTGATTAAAAGCAATGAAAATCTGATGCACAGATTTAAAAAAGAAAAAAAAAAACATGTCTTTGAATTGATTCTTTGTTATTATGGTTAAGTCTGGCTTAACCTCATTACTGAAACTAGCCTGTTCCTTTGCTGCTTAGTTGGTGCTGTAGCTAAGCCTATCGTTTCTTATTTATGTGTTAGGTAAACGCTATATCCAGTAGAATTATGAATACCACTGATTGCTCATGTGATGTACATTTTCTTTCACCAAATTCAGATTATGGAATGAGTATTTTATGTATTTTACTAAGTACATTTATAGTCTTTGATTTAGAAAAATTCTATCTCCATACAACTTTTCCGCTGCATAAAATATGCTAACTGGTGGCTCGAACACAGCCGTGCCCCAACAAGGAGGCAGTTTTGTGGGTCCACATACCTTCTTTAGTGAAATCTTGGCATTACTTAAGTTCCCTTCTCGGCTACATTTACCAAACGTGGAGTAAACCACACAGTCATTCAACTGTACCTTTACCGCGCCATTCTCATGCATGGTGATGCAGTTATCGGCGTCTTCTGAAAGTTGGTACAAGGCCTGAGCTGTCGCTCGGTGCACATTGGTGTCATTCGATTTCAGGTAACGCACCAACGGAGCAACTGCTTTGTGTTCTCCAAAGGCCACTCTGTTCCTGCCCCACATACAGCACCGGGAAATAGCTTCTGCCAGGTGACGCCTCAATTTATCGTTATTCTGCACAAAGGAAAACGAACTGTGGTCTGTGCGTTGCAATGAATGATCGTGTTTATGCACTTGATGTTTATTACACGCTAAGATGCCAATGAGTCTAGAGACAGGGGCCAGCTGGAAACTCAAGTTGTATCTTGAAGGAAACAGTCTTTTGGTGGGTCTCCAATGGACCAAAGTTCAATCTTGAGTTTCCTGTTTATCAATTGAATGTGGCCAGTGCACATAACAGTGACCAGGGGGCTGACATCAGTCATTTGCTCAAGGCTTGATTTCCTTTAGAGCAAGTCTACTTACAACACAATATTACAGATCAGCAAGTTGTATATGATATCAATATTTAAAGAATATTGGATAGTCTCAAAGGAATACTTCACTTAACCGGGATAAGTGAATCGATGCTAATTCTTCACCCTAGAATACTTCCACATCGGTAATACACCTTAGTTCCCAAAGGGAAGAAGACAGTGTAGCAAATATAATGACACATTTTGGGTCTTCCATTTACTGTTCTATGTTGTTTTATGCAGACTATATCCTTCTTTTTGGATATAACTGCCTATAATATATAACTGAATAGGGCAGTTTTCTTTTTATTAATTGTACTGTTCTCGTGATTCGGGCAACAACTTGGTGTCCTTAACTGAATCTGGCAGATACTCTTAGGAACTCGAAATCTAGACCAAGCATCTTTCCAGAGTTTGAATTCTGCTCTGCGACTTTCCTGCCAAGTCGTAGTCCGAGCCATGCTCAAATACTTCTGGTCATGGTGAAGTCATTGTCTCTCAAGGCTGCTTATTCTATCTGGCACAGCTCTAGGTAAACAATACAATGATTGCCAGAGTCTTCTAGCTCAAGAATGCCATTGATCCAAGCTTGCTGAGCTGGAGGAGGTGCATTTAACGTCTAATGTTGGCATGAACCACTGTCTTAAGAAGAATGATGGTGGTCGTGAAGATGATAGTTAACACTTACATAATAGCACATACATTCGCCACCACTCTATTTGCCAGTGGCAAATAAAAAACAGCCTCTGTTTTACAAGGATCTTGCACATTAACATTTTCCAGTTTAAAATACACTTTCACATATATTAGTTTCAGAGAAATTAAATGATTCGATCAAAGCCTCACACCTCATAAGCAATGGGTATTGAACTTGAATCCAGGTTCTGGACTTGGAGCTCATTGTTTTTGCCACTACACCATGACAACTTATGCCCATATGCATTTAAAATAAAAAGATGTGTTACTTACTGTATTTGCCAGCTTGGATAATAAAGGCACAACTCCATGATCTGTAATAACAGCTAAATTTTCTTGATCTTTCGCTATATTGGTAATAGCAGCACATACACTTGCCAAAACTTCTTTGTTATCTGATTTCAGTAAATTCACAACAAGTTCCAAACCACCAACAAAGGAACGAACCATTTCTCCAGCATCCTAAGATAAAAATAAAAATAAGGATGGTATCAAAAATAAACCTATATTTAAGCTTTTTCAAAAAAGGCAAAAAGTAACAATAGGGCCGTGAGGTACACCTTTGGCATAAAAGATAAATTCAGTTTGATTTATTTCTATATTATATGTAATTTCTATGTATGTATGTGTAAAGTATGTGTGTATATACATGTATACAAATACATAACACATATACATAAAATTCAGTTGCAACAAATATTTATTAAATAACTATTATGTGAGCTTCACTGTGCTAGCTACTGAGGATATAAAAGTTAGTAAAATACAGTTGATTCTTACTCTTAGTTTTGTTCTATGAAGTCATTGCAAACACTGAATTAGCCAAAACTGAACCATTCATTGCTCTTAGGGGAAATTCAGGGTTAGGTTCCTGCAAGCCTCTGGCTGCAACATTTTTGTCAACTGATTGACACATAACCTTGTTTGATGTGTGTTTCTGTTCGAAGACACCTTATTTCATTTATGTCGTTAATTCATTCACATTGAGCTCATGGCCAACAGCGCTATAAACTCACGCAAGGGAGCTTAACTAACTCAGGTATGTTGTCTATCAGGCACACCACAGCCGTCTTGCGCTTAAAAACTGCAGGCAGCACTTCAGCACTATGCCTCGGGGACGTTTTAAGCAGTGAAACAACCAGCAAAAAGCACAAAAATGTGAAAAATGTGGCACCAAGTAGACCACAGCATGGACATTTGTTGATAGTATGAGAGCCGGAGCAAGGAGGCAGAGTGCTGCCTTGTCCAACCTCGGCTGAGAACACGAGTGCTACATGACTCAAACAGCTCACCTCTTTCAGTGTGTCCAACAATGGCCGTGTTGTATTGATTTGGGGGTTACAAGGAAATTTTAGCAAGCAGGCAAATTCCCAAACAGAATCTGTGAATCATGTGGATCGACTGCATAAATTCTTTCGCCATCATGCTGTTTCCAACTGGGGGCTGGGGGTTGGGGGAGATGGGCATTAAGAAATTATAATAAATAGCACCAGTGGGGTGGGGAGGTGAAGATTCTACTAACATATATAACGAGGCATCTCAGCTAGCGTACAGATTCAAAGACTGTCTCCCCGAGGGGATGTCTGCAAGCTAAGGACCAAGGGATGAGGAGTTATCCGGTGTGAAGAAATTCTGGGTGACATAGATCTAAGAGTGAGAAAGAAGGTGGATTTTTATTTTTTCCTGATACAGAATGGTTAGAGCACAAAATAGGAAAGGAGCGTGGGAGATAATGAGATGTGAGCAGTGAGATCCTGAAGGGTCTTACAAGGCTTGGTAAAGAATTTGGAGTTCACTTTAAGGGCATTTGAAAGCCACTATAGAGGTTTAAGTATGTGCAAGGATTTTTGTGTTTTTAAATCAATCTTGTCTCTTAGCAGATCTCCCAGCACTGCAGGGTGCAGAGTTGGGGTGGGGCAGAGAAATGGCATGGGGAACCCAGAGGCTATTTCACTGGTCCAGATGAGAGGTGCTTTGGACGAGGGTGGGGGTCTAGGCTTGGGGAGAAGGGTGTGGATTTGGGGGGTTTGACTGGAGAAGACAGGGACAAGTGATTCAAGAATGATTCCACGTGTCTGGCTTGACCTAGTGGTGCTAATGTTGGAAAAGCTGGCTTTGGTTTGGTTTGGTTTTCTTGGTTGGTATTTGGTAGTAGAAGACCTAATTAGAATAATGTGCCCACAGACCTTTAGGTGGAGATATCCAAGAGTCAGAGGGTTCTTTGGGTTTGAAGTTTAGGAAAGAAAACCAGGCTGGAAATGTAGATTTGGAAGGCATCAGGATAAAGGAATTTGTCAGAGGATCCTGAAAGCAGATGTTCAAACAGAAACCCCCACCTCCTCTGAGGTTGCATGCGGGTGGGTGTCCAACGTCGACCAAGTATGTGGCTCCACGACTTTCTCAAATAATAGAAATTAACATCTTTTAGCCAGGCACAGTGGCACGCGCTTATAGTCACAGCTACTCTGGAGGCTGAGGCAGGAGGATTGCTTGAGCCCAGGAGTTCAAGGCTGCAGTGAGCTATGATCGTGCCACTGCACTCCCATCTGGGCAACAGAGTGAGACCCCCATCTCTAAAAATTTTTGTTTAGAAAACAAACATCTTTTGAGTCCCAACTGTATATCAGGCCCTGCAGTCCTCACTTCACATAAATTATCTCAATTAAACCTCACAGGAGCCGTGCAAAGTAGCTATTTTTATTCCCATTTTAGATTTTTTAAACTGAGGTTCAAAGATGTTGAACCTGATAAACTAGATTGTGTCCCTCGTGAAGGCAGAAGCCGTGTCTTCCTCACCTTAGTGACCTTTATAAATCTTCAGTCCGATGGGCTCATCTCCAAACCCTCAAATTCCTCCACAGCTTCCCTGCCCTTAGGGTGAAATCCAAACTCCACGGCATGGTGTTCCAGCCCTTCCTGGCACGCCCCCGGCCTGCCTCTCCAGCCTCAACCTCCCCGCCTTGCCTTTCCCTTCTCCAACCCCCACCACACACACACCCTGAGCCAGTGCCTCCCCGAATGAGCAAATAAGAATCCTGGGACTCATTCCCTGAGACTGTGATTCACTGAGTCTGGGTGGGGCCTATACAAAATCTGTATTTGAAAACCCCTCCTGGAGAGTGTGAACTTCAGCGAGTGGTGGGAACGCCGCTTTACGCCTGAGTCCTTCAGGTTTCACATCCTCGAATGTGCTGCTTGCACTTGTCTCCACGCCTTTGCACAGATCTTTTTTTGTCTGTCTTCCTCTTGGCTTGGCAATTCCTGCACTTCCTCAGCTACCGACTAAGGTACCATTTTCCTCGGGAAGCCGTTCCTGAACCTCAAGTCTGGGTTAAGCAGCATCTCCTATAATACCTGGTTCTTTCATATCGTTGCCCTTATCCCTCTATGCAGTAGTGGTTAATTTGTTTGCCTTTGACCTTGAACTGTAAGTTCCAGGAGGGCAGGGACTCCTTCTGTCTCATTCATTATTGCACACCCAGTTTCTAGCAGTTAGTAGATGCTCAATGAACACTCACTGAATTTGATGGTTTGCAGACTCACAGCTTTAAAAGGAAGCTTTCAGTGAGGTGTAACAAACCTAAGTTCCTAGTACACGGTGAAGGCAGGACCCAGGTCGGGGTCGACCCAAGTGTGAGGGCAAAGCAACCTTCTCCACAACTCATTGCCCCTCCTGATTGCTGCAAGAAGCCACATCAGCAA